GTGACTCTCCAGCTTAAAAACTCCGAAGCCTTCTCATCATTCTCAGGGTCCAGATCCCTAATCTTCATAGTCCCCTTCTCTCTTCCTTCTAGTCACTCTGACCTTAATTCAGTTCCTTCAGTTCATCAGCCCAATCTCGCCTCCAGGCGTCAACACAAACCTCCTCTGACCACCCGACTGAACGGCCCCCACTCGGAGCCTCCCCTGCTCCAGACGCTCTTCCAGTCACGCTCACCCCGGATTTACTTTCTTCACAGCGTGTCGTCTGCCTCTGGTAGGTTTTCCTGTGTGTTTGCAGGTTTTCTTTACTGGGAGAAATCCCTCGGGAGGCAGGTGCCATGAATTCCTTGCTAAACGTTCGCCGTGAGTGACTAGGAGAGTGCCTGGTCCATGACGGCTGCTCAGAAAACACTTCTCGGGAAGGGTGCCGGTGACCGCGAGCACAGGCGGACACGCGGCGGCGTGTGCACGCGGCTCCCCCTTCTCTGTGACTCTCAGTGGTCTCTCCGGATGGAGAACGTTGCAAACAATCGATAAAGCTTCATCATTATGAGGGTGATGATCGTCACCGATGATCGTTCAGGTTGAAAGCTGACCTGCAATGCGTTTAAGCAGGCGGCATGCCCAGCGGAGATACCACTCACAGCCACGAGGACTGCTGCGTTAGGGAGCACCTTGTGAACTGGAAGGCCGTTGCGTTTGGCTGAGATGTGACTAGTGTGGCTACGCAAAGGCGAGTGTGCAGGCAGAGCGGAGCGAATGGGCTGTGCAGTGAGAAGCACCTGGAGCTTGGGGCGCTCTGGATGGACAGAACTGAGGGGAGAGGCGGGAGGGGGAGGGGGAGGGGGGAGAGAGAGGGAGACCCGTGCACTGTCCTTGGGCGGGGCCGGCACAAGGCCAGAGCTGCCAGTGCCACACCCAGGCGGAGGGTCCGGTGGTAAAAAAACGATTGGGCTATTTAAAGCTCTACTTGAGGTTGTTCAAACGTCTGTATTGCTTCCCCAAATCCTTAGTAAATATAAGCACTACAAATATCTTGATGCTATTATTTGGATAGAAATCAAAGGAGCTAAGTATCATCCACTGCGGGCCCAAGGGGATACATGGAGATACACGGCCTACACGTCCATGCTCGGTCCTCACCCCCACAGGCAGCTCCTGCGTGACTTGGGGCACACACACCAGCAAAGTGCCTTGGGGGCAGGGCGGACCCAGCAGGACGTCTACGCAACCTCTAGGAAAGCTCTCCAGGCCACTCGTGTAGGAAGCCTCAGGGTCTGGTACTAGAGGGTGACACAGAAGGACATCAAGGCTTGGGCAGATCCCCCTAGGTGATTAGTTATAGACTGTCTAACGCTGAAAAGATGGTCTATTTCTTTTTGTACCACAGGAAACCCCAACCTCAGAGCAACGTTAAAGGAAAGCCCAACGTCAAGCAGGTAGATACACTGTGTCCACCTCAACCACACTGCATTGTAAAGACTCTTTAAATGTAACAGTGCCCGGACACAGGCGGGAACCTTTCTAGGAAGCTCATCTGTCAGTCACATTGTGAATAACATTATTTTAATGGAGAGTAATGGTTCAAAGAGTACAGTCTACAGATGCTTGAGGGTGTTCGTGAATTCCCGTAAAGTGCCGGGGTCGGGCGGATAGATCCACTCAGAATGAAAAGGAAGACGCCGGAGACTGGCCGTGGCAGTCGCGCCGACTGCAGCTTGAACTTGTTACGCGGGGCTGATGTGCCGGAGCCCCTGCCAGCTGGGCGGGGGAGTCGCATGGTGTACTCTCACCGTCTCTGCTTCTTGGCTGACGTGTCGGGGGACCAGCGGGCTGATGGGGAGGTGGCACGGAGAGCCTCGCTCAAGGAATGGGGTCCGAGTTTCCTCTGACTGTTTGAATCTTCGCATTCTCTGCTAAAATGCCCGAGACCCCACACAGCCTATGTCCCCATGGGAAAGGACAGAAAGTGAAAACGTAGAAGACACGAATCAAAGGATGGCATCACGGCGTCACTTTCAATGGCAGAAATACAGACACACACACGCTACCTGAAAGTTTATTAAAGCCCTTGTTAAAATAGGATTTCCCAGTGTCCCGTGAAAATCCCTTTGAGGCCACTTGGCTGGCAATGGTCCCCATTTGGTGAGTGACAAGACCGAGGCTCAGAGACGACCGACCTGTCCCCAACCTGGCAGCCGGTCGGCGCGGACCCTCGACCCCCAGCACCTCGCGCGTCTCACCGCGTGGAACAAACGGTTTGGGGGGCTTTTGTTCGATCGATGCCATCCTGAAGGACAGCCTAAGCCACCGTTCTCTCCTCGCAACGCTACTTCACAAGTCACGTGTATTTGTTATAAACCTGCCATGCCTTAAATAAAACCGTATATGCTACGTATTCGACAGCCAATTCAAGTCTAATGAAAACACATCAGTCTGATTACACAAGAAAGCGTGGGAGGCTAGCAGAACACAGAAAAAAACTATGACGAGCCCCAGTGGAAATTTGAATACAGTTATAATTGAATAAATGTGCGAACTGTAAAGAATTAGTGGCATTCACTGTGTCACACTTGCTTGACAGGAAAGCAGAAACGGCCGAGTGAGAGGGTCCCCGGAGCCGGAGGGTGCTGGTGTGGATGGGGACGGGCACCGTGGGGGCGCCGGCCACGCACTCAGCTCACGAAAAAACTGACCCCAAAGTGGAGTTCGAAGCGAGGCTTGTTTTCAAGGGAACAGTACTCTAAACTTGGGTTTCTGCGGTTGCCCGTGAAACACGCTCAGTCCGTGTGTCACTGAACTTGGAACCTACACGTTGTCGAAAACATGGCTGTCGGAGATGGGCGTTCAGGGTGCGAGTTCGAGAGGTCAGAGACGCATCACCGCCTCTGAGCCCCACACTCCCGACACCTGTCCTTGCCTTCCCAGAGGCCTCCTTGCCCCAGAGACCTCCCCCCGCCCCGGACCCGGCTCCCAGCAGACACGAGCTGGCAACTCTCCGTGGAACAGCAGCACTGAGTAAGGGACAGCGCAGTCCCCTGCCCCCGGCCCTGAGGGCAAGCTCACAGGTGGTCTGCCTGGCAGGGACCTCCGGCAGGGCAGCGGCAGGGCAGGGGGTGGCCGGGGGCAGTGGCCGGGGGCGGTGGCCGGGGAGGCCAGGGAGACGGCTCCGGCGGGAAGTGGCTCTGTCCCAAGGACACACACAGTTCGAGGACACGGGTCGGTGCGAGTCAGGATTATTAATATTCTGAAAACTTCCAACCTCACTTCTCAAGCACAGCATTGAAATGCACTTAAGCAACCACTAAACTCTTAGACATAAAATGTATCTAAGAAAAGAGCCCTTAGGTCAACGAAGCACAAAAAAAATCATCAATTTATCCATTTTTCTATCTAGGGAGGCACCTATCTCAGAGCTCCCGAGGCTGCGCTCTTTATCTTTTTTAACTTGTATCAGATTCACTGGTGTGACCTTGGTTGATAAAATTGTATAGGTTTCAGGTGCACAGTGCTACAGCGCATCATCTGCATATTGTACTGGGTGCTCACCACCCGATGTTGGGTCTCCTTCTGCCACCGTTTCTCCCCCCTTTCCCCTCTCTGCCTCCCTCACCCCCTTTCCCTCTGGTGACCACCATTCTGTCGTCTGCGTCTGTGAGTTGTCGTTATCGTTGCTGTTTTTGCTGAATCCCTCTACCTTTTCTCCCAGCCCCTGCCCCCTGCCCGACAGCCATCGGCCTGTTCTCCGCGCCCTGTAAGTGCCCCGGACTCCCAAAGAAGGCCGGGGACGCCCCAGGGGCCAGCACAGGAGAGGGACCGTTGCTGGCCCTGTCTCCCAACGGCCGATTCCACACTCGACTGAAGTCAGTAAAATACACGACACAAAAACTGAAGATAAAGCTTCTGAGCAGAAACTTCCTTCGGACCTTTCTGGAGAATTGGATTTCCCTTCCTGCAGAAAATTCACTGGAAATCGCTTGATCATCCGATCTTGATTCAACACGCCAGTGTGCACGAAGCACTTAGGAAACCAAACAACGGCGTGAGACGTGACCGTTTTCCCCCGACAACTGACAAAGCTACTTTGCAGTGTTTTTAAAAGACACGAGGCCAGGATTGGAAGGACTGTGGAGTCTGAAACGCGCGCTCTCACAGCCAGATGAATCGGAGACGAGCTCTCCCACCAACGGCCGTGCTCCCGGGGACTGGTGTCCTCACCCAGTGTTTGCACGCGGCCTCGACAGCATCAGCATTTCCCAGGTCAGCCCAGAGCTCCTGGGATTTCCACAACATACCAGTTTCGTTTCCACCCACGCCGTTCCGAATTTAATAGCAACACTGCACCAAGTTATGGCTCTTTACTGGCTCTGCAAGAATTACATGTATATATATAGTGCTTCCATTGCTATCAGATTTAAATGAGCAGTATATCACAGCAAAAAAGCGTTAACACGAACCAGAGCACCAACCTTATCATAATTCATGCTTTTACCAGATACCGAAATTCTCAAAGAACAGACTCCATATACACAGTTATCAGGAACCTGAAGGCGAGTGATTTGCACATTTTCAAGAGCCTGTCCCTTGAGGCTGATGTCACAGCAGCAATGCTAAAATACTTTGTAAACTCCACATCAGTGCGATTCATTCCGCTGTTATAATGCTGCATCGCCTTGAGTCCTTTCAACACATTATTTAACGGAAATTCTTTCACTGGGTCATACCTTGCCAGCATCACAGGAGTTTCCCAGTGCTGACTCCTAACTTCACGTCTTCAGGTAAACAGACACGTGAGTACACCAAAGAGGTAACAGAAATTTGAGGGGAATATTGTAAAATTAAAAACCCATGGGGAAAAAATAAAACGGTGCTTCCTGAAACAGAGAGCCCAGCCGAGATCTCACTGAGAGAGAGCCAGTGAGCGGCGTCTCAAAATCAAGCAGCGCGATGGTTAGCGACGAGCCGGAAATGAGGAAACTCGGTCACTCTCCGCGCCTTACCTCGTCATCCTTATACCAGGACAAGCTTTCAGCCGTGAGGACGAACCAGTAGCCCTTGGAGCCCCCTTTCATGATGCCGATGTTGCTGATGGTCAGCCAGCCCTTGCGGATCACCTGCAAGAGAGCACAGGGCCAGGCGCGCTTAGTTCTAGGTGAGCCGCAGGAGGCCACAGGCTTTGTGCTGAGCCAAGTTCAAAACAAGGGAGGTACGAAGTGCAGTAAGAACAGCATTGCTTCCCCCAACGTTCAACTTCTGTTCCTCTACTTAAGGTCATTTATCTTTCCAAACATACAAATAACCAGAGGGAAGGCTCTTCCATCAAATGAACAAAATGGTTTTTTTAAAGATTTTATTTACTTATTTTTAGACAGGGAAGGGAAGGAGAAAGAGAGAGAGAGAGAGAAACATCAGTGTGCGGTTGCTGGGGGCCGTGGCCTGCAACCCAGGCATGTGCCCTGACTGGGAACCAAACCTGCGACACTTTGGTTCGCAGCCCGCGCTCAATCCACTGAGCTACGCCAGCCAGGGCTTCAAATGAACAAAATCTAAACACGGGACGTAGGTAGGCGGCGGGAGCAGAAAGACTGAAGGAGAGAGGAAGGGGACAGCATGGGCCAGGCAGACGCGTTTGCGGCAGGGCGGCTACGGTGGAAATACGTCGGCCGACCGACGCACAGCACCGGACTCTCCTGCCCACTGCCTCTGCTCCCAGGCCAGCCCGGCGGCCCACGCACTCGCCCGCTCTGGTCTCATCAGGCTTCCTGCGGAGACCGGCCACCCAACGGTGGGCAGGAAGGACTGGAGCCGACCCAGAGCAGCTCCTGGTTAACAGCTCTGGAGACGGCTGCGTGAAAGAGGGAGCTGAAACGATGAGCTAGAATCAAAGTTTGGAGTTTTATAATGATCTAGACGTATCCATCTACTTCTGGTTGTTAACTGCTGTACTAAAAACATATGTAGCATCTTCATGAAAATCTTTACACGGCTTCTAAATTTTAAAACGTCAACAACTTGGATCACTGATAGAAATTATTGATAAGTGTCATTTGAGTGAGAGATCTATTTTTTCTCACAGTTGTGAAATTAAATTCTATTCTTTCACATGGCATAGTTTATTATCTTCCCTGTGCTGGATAGTTTTTGGTATCAGAGAACCAGAAATGACATCCTATATGGAATTGGATGATATTGTTTCAAACGTCAAAAATTATGCTCTGCCTAACTTGTTCAGGACTCTAAGAGCTGAAGTACTTTAACAATTACTGAACTACTGAATGACTGGGTGGCAGCTCCTAAAGAAAGATGAAAACACCACGATAATCAGATGTAATGTTGACATTGCGCCTAAGTGTTCTAACTGAAGGAGAAAAGTCAACTCTAAGGAAAACTGAGAAGTAGGTCAAGGTTATCATGATAGACCCTCAAAGCCTCTCTCCACACGCCTGTCCCTGCCACCTCCACTCCCTGCCACCCATCTCTCAGGTGCCCACTGTCCTTTCTAGCGCTCTGCCTCAGTTTCACGGACCGCCACCCGGAACCCCACCCAGGCCCAGACTTCCGCAGTTCTCTCCACTGTTCGCAATCACTCCTTCTCACCCTCTGCTTCAGAAAGAAGAAAACAGTACTTCTCAAAGTAGGGTTTCCATGAGCTATACTGTAACCACTGGGATGCTTTCTAAACACACAGATTTGTGGGTCACCTGCGAGTCCAAACGAGCCAGAATATGTACATGGGAAGCCCAGGAGTCTACATTCGGACATGTGCCCCGGTGAGTCATGTCCGTACTGAAGTCTGAGAACCACCGTCTGTACACGTACAATCAAAAACTCCACCGACCTCAGAGCAAATGACGACTTCTGCTGTTCAGTAAGAAGGAGCTGGGCACGCCATCTCGCACTGACATGCCGCCCACCCTACCAGGCTTACAAATAGCACACGAATCACAGTATCTGGTGAAAGTCTACTGATTAACAGAATTGCACACTTGTAATCTATGTAACTTTATTAACCAGTGTCCCCCCACTGAAAAAATGTTTAAAAAAGAAAGCATATTTATTATTTTACTTTATCAGCTATCTTTGGACAGAGAGGAAGTCTTCCAAATGCTTCACCAACGGCAATGAGCACATCGCTGTGTCGCCCACTGATGAGCAGCCTGGCTCCCTTGAGAAGAGTCTTGAATTGAGTTCAACACACAGGTTTTGCGAGCCGATTATAAATCCAGACGGAAACTCATGACGCTGCTGCAGTGCCCGCCCTCGAGAATCTGTTTGTTCAGTGGGAAGAGCAGGGCCATAAAGACAGGATTTTGACGAAAACTTCGTGCAGTGAGAGAATAAACGCAGCGGCACTGGACACAGCTTAGGAAGCTGTAAGCACTGGTCGTTCTAAAGAGACTGGGAGCAAAACAGACTGAGCCACGTCAGGAAGTAGTCTGTTTGCTTATTTGTTTTTTACGAAGAACAAGCAAGAGAAACTAGGGAGGAGCCACTGAGTGCAGAGAATGTGAGGGGGGGTCAAGACCGAGGCCGAGAGGCCCCGGGGTGGGGGGGTCCAGGCAGAGTGGGTGCAGACCAATGGGACCCCACCCTGTCGTGGCCTCACTCCTGTGCAGTCCCAAATCACCGTCAAGTACACGTGTAAACTTATCTTTGGGTATACGTGAACACTGTGTTAGTAAATGATGTGCTTCATATGGAAGTGCACAAAGAAATGTGAAAGCATGACATAAAGATAAAATACACAACATTTTAGGTATTTCACATGTTGTGAGGGAAATGTATTTTTTGTTACCTTTATAATTTGATTATTAACTCCCCCGGGATACAGAGCAAGGGCGCTGGCATCAATATGTCCATTGAACATGGATAGAGCTTTCCTGTTTTCTTACTTTCTAGCTAAAAACACATGTCAGTGGATGTTCCACTGGAGTCTCCTGCACTTGGGTGGATCTGGCACGCTAACCTGGGACAGAGAAGCTAGCTTATGTGAGGAATCACCCACGCGAAAAACGACCAAGGCGTGCGTAAAGCCAGGATGCAGTGAGGAAGAAAATAAATAAACCTACTGGGTGACTGCCCAGGAGATACGATCAACAGGACTTGTGGCTGGGTGAGGGGGGTTCATGAAGGTGAAGATTCTAGAAGTGCATTCTACGGGAGCCACGTGCCGTAACACCTACTGAATCTTAGTGAATAGTGCCAATTCAGATGTGCAGCAAGAGTACAATGCGCACTGGACTTTGAACATCTAGTTCAGAAAACTGTAAAATATCTCACTAAAAGTTTTAAAATTGATCATGTGATGAACGATAAGCAGAAACTTCATGCAAACTGGGGACGGGAGGGCCTGGGGAAGGAGGGGCTCCGTGCCCTCCCGCTCAGGGTCGCGAACCCAGCAGGAGGAGACCAGCTCTCCCTCCGCACCAGGAAGGCACGTTTTCTACTCCGCTCCGGCAGGAAGGAAGAGGACCTTCCCCTCACCTGGGACCCACTCCACCAATGAGAGGCTGTTACAGCTCAGCCAATAAAGAGCCACTGCCCCTCAAACTTCCGGCTTCCTCCGATGGACTCTGCTTTGCAGCGGCCCCCCTGAGCTCCCCTCTACGAAGGGATGTTTCGCCCCCTTGTTCTCTGGACTTGCGTGTGGTTCACCACGAGACCACATGTCTCGAATTGCAATTCTCTGCTGTTCCCAGAGAAACCCATGTTGCTGGAGAATTATCTGACTGTCTCTTTGTTTAAGGTCAACAATCGCAGGCTAAAATAATATCTTGAATATACTGGGTTAATAAAAATCTATTTTTAAAGATGATTTCACCTGCTTCCCTCCAGTTTTAATGATGCAACCAGAAAATTATAAATTATGTACATGGCTTCCCTTCTGTTTTCATTGGACGTTGTGCCACTCTGGAAGATGCTGAAAATCCTGGGACCACCAGCTCAAAAGGAATAGAGGAGGAGGCCCATGTGTTTGAAAGGTAGGGGAGCCGATGAGGAATTCGGCCGAGGCCACGCTGAATCTGATGTACCTGCGGGAAATGCACATAGACGAGACCTGACACCTGAAGATAAGACCTGACACCTGAGGACGAGACCTGACACCTGAAGACGAGACCTGACACCTGACGTGCATGGCATCGGCACATACACAGGTGCTGCTCAGCACTGAGTGAAACAGGCTCATTAAGGATCGTGGGGAAATACCAACATTTAAAAGGTGGTCAGCAACGTGCAAAGCAATGTCAGAGGAGCAAGAGCAGCGAGCTCATGGAAGTCCACGGCAAGGTGAAGTTCAAGGAGTGTGTGGCTGGGAGAGTCAGATTCAGCCCCTAACACAGACGTCACAGTGTCTTTAGCTGTGCCCGTCACAGGGTGGGGGTGGGCTCAGTCCGAGTCCCTAGGATTGAAAAGCAAAGGAAAGGAAATAATGGAGACAAATGACGATAAAGAGCTCCTTCCAGAGCAGCATGGAAGACAGTTAAAGTCACAAAACTGAACAGACACGGGGCTGCTGCTTCCGTTTTCCACTTTGGGCGTTTTTTTTATGGCAACAACTGAGTGTGATTATTGCTCGGGGGAAGTAAGTGGTGGAGAGGGAGAGGCTGGTGACACAGGAGAGACGAGACAAGGATGGAGGCGGCGGGCGTGGATGGGACGAAGAGCCCAGGACGGGAGCGGCCTCGTCCTGCGAGCCTGGGCCGGCGAGGGCGGGCGCAGGTCCTTTGGAGGAGGGGGCAGAACGTTTGGGAAGGTTGACCTTGATCTTTCCAGCATTCATGGTAAGAAAAGAGACTAAATTATCTGCAGGCGAGCGAGGGTGGGAGAAGCTGGCCCGAAGGCTCGCGGACAGGGCAGAGCAGTGGGACGGACGGTAGTTGAAGCAGAGTCAGCGTGACTGGAATTAGTGGGAGACGGTGGACAAGACACAACCCTGAAACCCCCCAGGAAGTAATATAGGGGACAATCCAGGTGACCTTGAGGATGGTGATGTCTTTGCAGAGAAAACACCAAAGACACAACCCATGAAGGGAATACATTATAAGCTAGGCTTCCTTAAAATTACAAACTTCTACTCTATAAAAGACAATATCAACAGAATTAGAGGACAAGC